TCTCCCTTTTATACTCCTTGGGTTGCCTTCCTTTTTCACCCTCTACCTCGTATTTACAGGATTTATTTACAATGTATTTTCCTCAAACTGAATAAAAAGTGAAATTTTCACACTATAGTTCTACTGCACTGAACTGTGGCTCTACTGCAGTCAGACTGCACCTAGAATCCTTATTGTCCTTCCTTGCCTAAACTATTTTAATGGTTAATTAGAACTTGACTGTGCTGCATTTGTTGCAGTTTCCTATTTCAAATTCCTCATCTTTACCATTAAGTTCACTATGACTCAGTGATTCTGAATTCAAACTTCGCATTACTATGCATACGGCTGCACTGAGACCTTCAGCTGATTTATTCCATTTTTATCCAGTGACATTTAATTAAAATGAGACTTGAAATGGTAAATGAGTGAATTATTCAGGTTTAGAACTGAAAGAAAAAGTTGCTAGTAGTCAAGAATTACTCAAACGAATGTATTATAGCTCTCCACTTCATTAGAATATTGTTCCCTAAAATTCCTGCCATGGTCCATCGTAGTTTAGTGGTTTTCATGGATTTTGTCCATCTCCCCTGATTCCCCTTTGTATTATCACATCCTAGTCCTCCATATGTATTGTTCATTGTTATAGTAGGTCGTCCTCGAAGATATCATATTTTTACGTATTTTATTTAGGGCTCTGGACCTCTTGAAGCTGTCTTCCCGTGCATTTTCAGGTTTCTAACTTCATGTCCTTGTATCTCATTCATTTCTGGATGGTTTTCACGTTCTTGGTATCATAGATTTTCAATTATTCCCACCTTCTGGTACTAAAGTTGTGTTCTATTTCCTGGTATTTGTTGAGTTATCAAAAGTTTGCATGCACATTCGGTAATCATGTGCATCATTCCCATAGTCATTCGTATGTGGGTGCCGTTTTGTTTAATTGTTCAGGATTTATGGTATGTGTGGGTATTTGTATCCTTCATATGGGCTTCCATGATTTATTTCAGATTTTTCCCTCATGATCTAAGGTTGTTTTGTACTTTCCATGCTTTGTTTTGACCAGGGTCTTCCTTATTTGGATGGAAATTGGTCTTCATGAGCTGCCGAAGTGCGGATCTCGGTTCCGATAGCTGGTTCCCTTCACATTGCCATCCTCACGTATCTTTAAACATGATGCAGATTTCTATACTCCCATCATTGGTATAACTTCACAACGGCTGGACCGTTTGGGCTGAAAATTTGCATAACTATAGTTCCTTAATTTCCGTGTAAATTTTGTTGTATGTTTTAATTATGGATCCTATGTAAACATCATCTTTTCCCTGAGCCCAGACTTTTGATGTCACTATTCCCGTTATTGGATATCTCATTAATGCGTGATCCTTTTATTATGAAAATTTGGGTGAATTAAGATTAGATCCCTTCCTTTCTAATGGACCATCAAGCTCGTCTCGGTCGTTACTGCTTGTTCTTCATGCTTGCCTTTTAAATGTTGTCCTCATTTTCCGGGAGTTTTAGTCATATCTCCATCATTTATGGGTAGTTTTCCCTGTAATTACTTTCATTGGGTCCGTTTGGGGGACATCTACAGTTCCTATTATAAACACGACTTTGAATTTTGCATTAGTTCCTAAGGAATCCTTGTTCCATGGTACTTCCATCCTCAGCTATGTGTGCGGACTGTTAGAACGTGTGGATTTGGATGACTCCAGAGTGGAATCAGAGACTTAGCGTGGAAGGACCTCAGCCTCAGCAACTCAGGCAGAGCACTGTGCCATTGCTGGTTGTCCTGGGGGTCCCTAATTTCGGATCTAGCAGAGGGAAAGTCTCTTGGGGGTATTTCAAGTCAATTTCGGACTGAGGTTACAAGTTACTATGTACATTGTATATAAGGAGGGGTCCGGAATCAAAAGGAGCAAGGGTACTCCGAAAGCAGACAAAGGGAGCTGGAAGGAGGAACAACGCCGAGGGTCAAGGGTTTGACTCAATGGTGTTTCCCAAAGGAGGAGTGAAGGACCAAGGCTCAATGAGGAAGGGAGGATGGGAGTGGGGAATGGCCAGCTGACCTAATAGAAAGGAAGCAGCAGCCCAAATAGGAATGAGGGAGAATAGTGGAATTGAATAGGACAATGCAATAGTTGCAAGGTCTGAGGTGAGTCCGGAAAGTCCGAACTCGGAAGTTAAACTCCGGAATATTGGCAAACATAATTAAATGGAATGAGCTAACCAATACAATGGGTATAAGCAGAGGTGGGGTCAAAGTCCAAGGTTGGAGCTAAGACCGGAGGTTCCAGAGATGGAGATGCAAACGGGATTCCAGAGTGGAGGTCCGGAGTCGGGAGCATAGGTGTTGCGTACTCGTCTGGAAGGTGTCGAGGTTGAGGTCAGACCCGGGATGTTCCAGAGTCGGACCGAAGGTGGTGTTGGAGCTGGAGGTGGGATAACCTCTTTGGAGTCAGCAAGGAGAAGGTGATGGAAGGGAAGTAGGGCCCTGGAAGTCAGTTTCAGAGTTCCGGGAGCCCGGAGCGGAGGTCGGGATTGTATGGTGTCAGGGTTCAGCACCCTGCCTTAGGGTGCCCTGGACTCCCCACCTACTTTACCCCCTTTTATTCTTTGACTGTTGCCTTGTTGTTGCCTTTGTGTGTTGTGTACATGCACGCGCACGGGATAGCGTGGGAACTTCCTGAGCAAGCAGCTCACCCAGAATGTTCCCACAGGTCACAGCCACAGTTCTGGGTGAGCAACTCACCCAGAACGTTCCCACGCTTACTGGGCACTGCCACCTGGATGTTCCCTCCGGGTCACACTACACAACTCTAGGAGCTGTATAGTTGTGGGCATGTGACCCATTCCTTTATATAGCAACCATGCAGGGAGATGAGACCTTTACCCTTCTTCTCATCTCATGCCCCACATAGGCAAGTGTATATATTATCTTTCCTTTTACTATACATCTCATGCCCCACATAGTGTGAGGACAGGTTAGATGGGGGTTGAGGTCAGGGAGCCTCCGAGTCCGAGGCTGGGCCCTGACATATGGATATGACATGGATGTGGGAAAGTAGTTTCTGTGGAGGTTCTCTGGTTGTTTTTATAGTCAAATCTTGGTCGATTGTCCTAATTCTTTGTTTAATATTTGCTATAAATTCCCCCAAGAATTCCGTCTTGTTGATGCTAAGCTTGAAGTATTTTTACTAATTTTCTTTCTTTCAATTTATCGTGTGTAGTCATAATAATTCGTTAAAATTCATTAAAATTCAGGTCCTTCTATTTTCTCATATCTACTTGTCGTATGGGGTTTTGTGATTTATCTGGCATATTTCCATAATGGGTTTCCATAGTGTGACCATTATTTCTCCTACAATGTGCTTTGCAACGTCAATCAAATTGGGAACAAGTGTGGGGTTAACTGGATTAACTTACTGAGCGTAAAAAAGTGTAAGCATGTGGTTATAAGTGCCTCACACTCCCAGTCCGTCGCACAAGTACGCTTTAATGAGCCATATTGTTAATGGGGGAGTAAAGGCTAAGGGGCCTTTCCTCCTACCCACGCATCTTATATGTATATGTGTATCTACATGATGTAATGCAGCTTAATATTATACAGGTTGTCTATGTTACTGAAGCGCAACTGCAGTCATGCTTGATGTGAAGTATGCAAAGGACAGACAATGTGTGGGTACACATTTTAAGTCCTTACACAGCTATTGCATTGTCCCATTCAATTCCACTATTCTCCCTCATTCTTATTTGGGATGCTGCTTCTTTCTATTCAGTCAGCTAGCCATTCCCAACTCCCATCCTCCCTCCTTCCTCCTTGGGCCTTGGCCCTTCACTCCTCCTTTAGTTGAGTCAAACCCTTGACCCTTGGTGTTGTTCCCCCTTCCAGCTCCCTTTGGTCTACTTCCAGCCTACCCTTGTTCCTTTTGACTCCAGACCTCCTCCTATGTATACAATGTACCTAGTAACTTGTAACCTCAGTCTGAAATGCCCCATAGAGACTCACCCCTTGCTAGATCTGAAATTAAGGACCAACAGGACAACCAGCAATGGCACTGTAAGGGATTAACCTTACTTCACTATAATTCCGATTACAGTGATATCATTATGTTGCATCACTATAATTCCCATTATAGTGATGCTATTATTTCTTTATTTATTTGTGCCAAGATATGTAAATTACATATATATACCTTGGAGTAGTTGTAAGCCTTTTACCTCTACCCCATTGAATATACAGCTCATCAAAGCTTATGGTTAGACAGACTAACTGAGGCCTGAGGTGAACAGGGGAACAGAACGTTACCATCCCCAAATAGTAAGCAGAACCCTTCAGGCACAGTGCTCCCCTTGAGTCACTGAGGCCAAGGTCCCTCCTTGATAAGTCTCCAATTCCATTCCAGAATCTGTTGGAATACAAGTCACATGATGAAACTGAACCGGAATATCCGGGAATATTCTAGGGGTTACTAGGTGCCTGCATAAGCACTGGGCATAGAAGAGCCTGGAATATTGTTGAGAAGTATAAATATGGGCACTGGAGCGCCATGTGTATTTTAGTTATATTTTCATTCTATATTACATCTGGGTTGCGAGTGAACTGCTGAAGCAGGTTGCCATATTTGGAACGCTGCATTTACAACAGAATCATCTGAACTCCCCCATTCTAACAGTTCCACTGGACCACTTTGGATGGAATTGGTATCACTGGAAAGCTGCAATTTAGGAGGTTTTTATTGCTGTAAGGGGGCAAGGGATCTACCACCCTAATGAGAAAGAGAGGGAACCACAGAGTTGGGAGTGCTCAGGGGAGGTTCAGATGATGAGGAAGGAGGGGTGTCAGGGCACACCTACCTGACCCGGCTCCACCTGGCCCCAGCTGTACAGTTGTGGGCATGTGACCCTTTCCTTTATATAGCAACCATGCGGGGAGATGAGACCTTTACCCTTCTTCTCATCTCATGCCCCACATAGGCAAGTGTATATATTCTGTTTAGTGCCAAACATAATCAAATGAGTCAGTGACACAAAGAAAATGACTGCATTAATACTACTAAGGCTATCCACAATAATTTAAATACAGAGGATAAGAACCAATCAAAAGCTTGTTGTCTCAAACATGTAGACTAGCTCAAAGGGCTTCCTGTCGGTGCCTTTTGTTCGATGCAAATCAACATCGATGGAGTGGGGAAAACCATCAATAGACATTTCCAAGTTCCGCATCTGGGAGATGGGGATCACACAACTCCGGGGCATCAGGATCAGGATCTGACAGGCAAGAACCATGATCGAGTTGATGAGCATTCTATTATCACAGCCCCCAAACAGTCTATCAAGTGGACATTGAACTTGGGAAAGGACTTACACTGCAGTGATTGTCTTCGAACCTAGAACGATGAAAGTTTATAACAACATTGCCCTTATCGAGTCCGACTGTATAAGTTTCTGTATTCATACGCCACAGCTAGGCATCCTAAACTCACAAGTCGGGTTTGTGGCATGGGCTGGCCCCGCTCATGAGCAATCACAGCCCTCCTCCGGGCAGATGTTAATGCATCAAGAGGAATAGATGGTTTATCACTGCCCCTCGTAGGCGCAGTCAACTTCTTTCGTACTCTAGACCGCATATGTAAGCTAGCGGAGCACAGGAGGCCCTATTAGTGACGGTGTCCAGAGTCAAGGAAGAATGCTTATGCTTTACTTTGTGAGCATGCATAAGGGATACATGCAACTGAAGGTCTGAAAACATCCGGGAGTTCTTTTAGGAGCCTCAAGAATGCCTGAGAATAGGCTTACGATCCCCATTATGAGAGTAAGATGCGAGAAGCCAGATCTGGCGAACTAAAACATCGTCTGGGTCCAATGCTTTCTACCGGAAGATAATTGCAGCTGTACTTACGGCAACTAGCCCGGTAATAGATTGAACACAGGTTATGCTACCCGTCGCAATAGCCCAGTATATTATTGTGTTGATAGCACTGTCCGTTCTGTTGCAAAGCCGGTCAGTCCTGAGTTGCTGCACTTCAATCATTGATTCACTTTCTAAAACCAGTCTTCCGGTACCATAACAGGGACGTCATCAACACCGCTATTGAAGCGTCACATACCGCCTGGCGGATTTACGTGGAACAGACAGGTCGGAGTGTTGAAATTGAGGACTACACACCTGCATCACTAGCCAAGCTGTAGCTATCCAATCCCACTTCTGGACGATTTCAGCGAAAGTCGACGACATGTCCCTGGCGCCATTGTCAAATCAGAATAGTGATGCAATCTGCAGTCATGATAACACGTACGCCTTAGCTTGAAGTGCTAAGAATGAATTGCACGCCAGTAAGGCTTCTGAAATGGACATGGACTCCGAACCCACCTATGCCGAAGGCTGCCGCAAACCAGAGGGTTTCAGTCCATGAATGTGAAAATGCTTATTGGGAACTTACCAAACTGCGCGAGGGAAAAGACTTGCTGTGATTATGAATGGGTCAGCATCGCAAGCGAATTCAAGATATGATATCAACGTACCACGGGGGCAGCAGCACAAATACTCGAAGATACTGACGGTAATCTTATGATTAATAAAGGGTCAGTAACGCCCAGAAGCACTCACAACTCCAAATTCGATACACAAAAAAAGTCTGCACGGTGACGGATGTCACTGACGCAAAAAGTTGGTATATGACAAGTTGCCTGAGAAAACCATTGAGCAGGGAAACTCCCATCCTTCAATCATAAAGCGTGTGCACCATTTTCCTTGTTGCAATTCATCGAGGTTGGAGTAATTTTCGATCTGCCACCTCCAATTCACCCTAGTCACCATAATCCTTGAAAGCAAGAACCACAGGCCGTCAAGACGGAGATACTCCGAGGGTGCCAATGCCACATACACTTGGGTTAGGATGAGAAGCCTTCAGCATGAGGCGAAAGTTATCTTCTGGTCGCCTGAAAAGCACCGCAGGGAACGAACCAGAGAAATCCAACCTAACGTCACACCAAACATTTAAGCCTCATCAAACTTGAGTCAACAATCAATGAGGACGTACCGCTCGCCATGTCCATTTACTATCATGAGGGAAACGGCCATAATAAAAGACGACCTGCACAGTGAGTATCCCGAAAAAACTGAAACCGTCGTGTGAGCGTGCAAACGACTCGGATCAGGCCATCGGTTCCATCTGGAAACAGGGTGCTTACACCGCGCAGATGATATTCCCCAGAAGAGCACCACCGAAGAGCTGCTCCACGTGGAAGGGTATGGTTTGGACCATGACGGACGAACGGAGTAAAGAAGTAGACAAGCCACTTGGAGGAGAGAAAGGGAAAGGACTAAATGTTCTCTCGTACTAGGCTGGCTCATATACAACAAGCGTGGCAGAGTTCGATTGCGCGATCGACTACGGCCGTTCCGTCGGAATAAGTCTCCATCCATGCGTCCGAATTAAGTCAACGGGTGTGTACGAACCTGGATTATCCATCAAGGATATAAGGATACAATATATTCGGTCAACTCTGCAACAAAGCTAGGGCATGACTTGAGAGCCATCGCTGGTCCGTGAGAGGGTAAATGGAAGTGGCAGGCAAGGAGGGGAAGAAAGAAGATACTAAGGCAACAAAAAATCAGATAGCAGTGGAGCTGATTTGAAGAGACGACAAGGATGACGTGGACAAAGCTTGGGATGGACGCTCCACATTCTTGTCGCCAAGTGGATAAATCTCGGACGCCACGCATGTCACAAAATCAGAAGCTGTCTGAGATGCTACTTTAAAAAAAACAACGAGCCATAAAAGGGAGCTTGAATAGAATCTGACGCGAGCCAACCAAAGAGCACAGCAAATTCTAGACCCAAAACTTTAAAATATATGCCTAGTAGGGAGGAATACTTAAAGTGTCCTCATTATCGTATCCTAGAGAACAGGTGGCAAAAAAGCTTGATGCTGTGGCGAAAGCGAGGCAATAAGAGCGAGCTGATCACCGTCATCACAGGGATTGATATCAAGGATTCCTGATTGTTTCCCCATCTCCTAGCCGCATGAAAAACCACCGGGTGCCCGTCCAAACTCGAGAGAGACTGACGAAAGAGTCGCGAACTGCGGCTTGCACCTATTCCGTTGCCTCTCAAACCTTCCCCATCTGAGAAACAAGCCGAATGATAGCCACCGAGCACGAATGCCCATTAGGGGAAGACCTTCCGTCTGCTTACAGCGTAGGCCTACCGCTTGCAGACAGGTCATCTGAGAAGAGTGGAGCACCGTGAGAATTACTAATTGGGTCGCAACTTGATGCAACCGTAAACATGATTTTCCTTGCACGCACTATGCAAGTCTCATCCGCCTAGTACAGAGCAATAATGTCCCCTCCATCAGAGCACCTAGGCTGCTCACATCCCATTGGTCACGAATGTCTCCGCGCAATGGGGACTGGATTTTGTCCATCAATTTCGAAATACATTTTCGAATTCGACCTACACAACCGCTGGTACTATTATGTTCCCTGGGCACCCAATCGCACGACTGATACCCAAATGTGTCTTGGTCATATGGACAAAGGATGGAATATCGTGTATGCTAGGGGCTCTTCGGGTCTCCAGAATCGTTGAAAAAATAACTAGACGAATGAGGACAGGCCTTTGTTACCGAGGCGTAGACGCAAGCTCTGGTCGACAACAAGAATTGGCAGACAGATGGCGAATCCTGTGGTGCCATGTAACAAGGTGCGTGGTTTACTAGGGAGAGCATGGGTGTGGTTCGTGGAGTGTATGTTGACTACGGCGAGAATAAGGATAAATGGGGTGACGACAAAGATGATTGCGACTATAACCAAGAGGGGGGAAATGACGAGCAGCGCGTTTCCCCTGATCATTCGTTGATTCCGTCCATGCCTTACTTTCGCCGCACGTTGAATGGTCTCGTTCCCAGCCTCAACTATTTCGATCGAACATTTTCGGACCCTCCTGTCTGCTAAAATAGATCCTAATTTCATTTCCTGACTGTTGTTGAAGGGCCAAAGAGTGTGGGCCAGCATTTGATCAGTTCCCCGGGCCTTTTCATCACAGCGCAGTTCCTTTCACAACCAATACCCGACCATCCCAAAAATTTACTTCAAACACCACAGGGGAAAGTAAAATGAAAACGGAACCCTTGCGAGCGAACAAGTGATTGGACGAATGGGAAAAGCAGAGGGGAAAGTACAATAGCTTGCATGAATAAACGCGCTCAGATTGGCATCCCGATCGAGGGGATGACATCAATAATGATCCGGCAATTAAATGCGAAGATGGAAGGGTTTACATATGTAAACCTTTGACTTTTGATCCATATCGGTCTTCCAGGGTGCCATAAATTCCCATAGCGATCTAAACTCTTTGGTGGATGAGACTTCCACGATAGATATACCAAAATATCGATTGTAAGGTGCTACAACTACGAATAGCTAGATGCGATATCTGGTAATGGTTTTCGTGGGATAAGCTAATAGTACATTCCAGTCGTTACTCAATTACGTATCACCTTGAGCGCCCCTCTGTTCCCATCGAGGTATGCATTGATGTTATCGACGGTGTCTCCCCAGAAGATCTATGACAAAAAAGAAAAAGGATAATTAAACAACCAATGCTTCCTACATGATATATTTTTGTCTACCCACCGAATAAAGGTTCTCATCCACATATCCGACGTGTGGGGTCAAAGTGACCCTCCTATCCTTCGCCAACGCCCTCAACTCATGGTCAAGCGGCAGGGGTTCGGTGTCAAATACGTCGAGCCCTACACCAGCAAAGATCCCTTCCTTAATGGCCCGAATGAGATCAGCTTCTTTAATGAGTGGACCTCGAGAGGTGTTGATGAGAAAGGCGGTGGGTTTCATCAAGGAGAGGGTGGAGTAGTCGATCAATCCGACGGAACCTGAATGCAAGGGATCAGTGCGACAAAAGCAAGGAAGGGAAAAGTGAAACTATCCAAACATACTCAATGAAAGCACAATATGAATTGAGATCACGTCAGAGGTCTTGAAAAGTTCTTCCTTGGTGGGGATAAATTTGACACCTTCGGCATCGCAGCGTTCCTGGGTCAAGTTCGGCGACCAAGCTTGAACTTCCATTCCAAAGGCTTTTCCAAACTTGATAAAAAGATAAGATAAGAAGATGTAAGATCACCGCATTGAAAACAAAGATGAAAATATAGGCACATACATTCGCCGTGAGTTTCCCTAGATTGCCAAGGCCGACAATGCCGAGCTTCTTCTCACGGAGAGAGGTAGGAACGACGCTCTGCCAGGATGGAGCCCCGTTCACTGTATTAACGTGTTCGTGAGCGAGACCTCGGACAGTCGCCAAAAGCAGCGCCCAACTAATTGTTCACATATAATTGAGGAAGTAGGCCATCAGAGTCATTTCAGGGGAACAACAATGGATCAGACTCAACGCATGTTCTGCAGTTCCTTTTCCATGATACCCCGTCCCCACAACAGTCTTACCGTGATCAGAGGCAGCCTGTACATCGATGCTGGCATTCTTCGGCGCAGTTGTGGTCAATAGTTTCAATTTCGGTAACCTCTCCAAAAGCTGTCGAGGGAATTTGGTTCTCTCGCGCATCGTGACGATGATCTCGTATTTCTCAAGACGATTCACGAGTTTGTCAATATCGGAAATTTGAATGGTGGTGTCAAAGAGGTCAACACTGGCTCGAGGAAGAATGGCCGACCAGTCTGTGAACTTCAAAGCGACGTGTTGATAGTCGTCAAGGACGGCGATCTGGGTCAGGCCATTGCCAACGTGCGCGTATGGGTCGAGATGGGACATGTTGCTGATAGTGCCGAGAAATTTGGCTGATGATTCAATCCGAGACTGCGTTTGGGTAAGGTCGGTAAGATCCTTAGCATCTCTCTTGAGTCTTTATACCGCGAGGGAGTGGAAGCACCGCAAAAATGATAATCATAAATGCCCCATGTACAAATCGGCCGCAGTAAATCGGGTCGCATAAAATAGATCAAGTGACCTGGCGTCGCCAAAAATCCATAATTTCTACCGTGTCTTAGACAGGACGACATGCTTCGTTCTACCTTGATCTCACTGCCAGGAGACGCATCGCATGGCCCCCTTACTCTCTGAGCGACATTCCTGCCACTCGAATCAGGCTGTGGATGAGAGCAACTTGCGTAAGCTACGGCCGTAAAAGACAATGCGACGTGATCGGATTATCAAAGACTTCTAGAATTTAGTTTTTGTCATCATCGCTTCGAAGAAGCCTTTATCATTCGGTCCTTTACTAATCACATCTTCACTGAGGCACCTGCATGTTGCGCTTTGGATTTGAACACTTGTCGAATTTTGGTCGGGCTTGATTCTTCCAACTGACGTTTCGGCTCGGATTATTAATGTGAAAGGTAGCCCGGCGTCACCGCCATAATTAACAAGACACGCCGCGCTAGGTGGCTCGAATAATCTTATTTTCTACGAAAGTCGACTCTGATCAGTCCTCTCATCCCGACGCAGCCACAGTTTCTCCTTGGCTGCTCCTTCAATGGGAGACAAATGTTCCTCGCGCCTTGCGGAAATTTCTATGTCGCGCGCGGCTTCTCGGGCCCGCTATGCCGATGATGGAGATTTGCTTGTTCTATAGGCTCCCCGCCCGATCGTTTAGAAAGTTCGAATAGATTCTCACTTTGTTGATACTCTCACATCCATGTTCGCCTTGACATCACGCCAGTGGTGGACGGGGACCATTACAACACCATGCTATTTGAATGTGAAAAGACACCACGAGTCTATTACCAGCTTGATTCACCGTAGAATCCCCAGTTCATTCTCACTGATTATGAAGTTGTTATGTGTGGACTGAAGCTACGAACCCTCTACATATCTCCTTGCGACTCTTATCAGTTCAACTTGACCACTGATCACTGCCGAGAAAGCCCTCCGCTTGGGTATATGTTGATGCCGCCGCAGCTCATGGTGGATTTCTACCCTTGTTCTCGTGCCCCTTGATGCTGCCTATGGCACTCTTCCACGGCTTGACGTAAGCTGGACTGGTTCATTTCGTTCATGCCGGTCGGCGCAGCTGGTTTATGGCCCGACTTCTATCAGTCTTGTGATCAAACATGAATCGAAAAGCGAGACTAAATCAAAACGACATTCCCGTTAGTGGAGAGATGTCCCCCCAAAAAAAAACAGCCCTCGGGATTCCCGCGCTGTGCCCTGCTTCGCAGGTCGGACGGGATGCGGTGCTTTCACGACCCTGTTCCTGTGAATATCCGCGATCCAAACCAAGGTCCCAAGAAAGATTCACGAACCAGATTGTCAATGAGCAATTTTTTCGATATAATCATGGAAAACGTTCATGGTGCCTCCGGAGACTAGCCGAAATGTACACCGGTGACCCACCGTCACACCAGACCACACATCATAACTCCAATAGAGAGCTGGGCTTTGCCTATATCCTGCGAGCGATTTGTGTGCACTGTGCCGCCACAACACTCCAACTTGTATGGGAGGATTCAACCGGGAATGCTACCCTTCAATCTAAAATCCCTGCTGCTAGCACCAACCAACAACCCAATCAGGCCTTGGGGCCGACTCCATCCTTGTTGGACCGTGTTCCAGACAGATAGGTCATATCGCGATATTTCAATTGTCACAATATCGGATTCACCGGGGTTCAGCAAGGAACAAGCAAATCCTCTGAGTGCGGATGGCAGTGATTCAGAGGATACTGGAAACTCAAGATAGAGCTGGGAGACCTGAGAGTATGTAAAAACTCGCGGAGGATTACAGCTCCCCAGAGAAGAGGGACAAATCTCCTGGGAAAGTCTAGGCAAAGCTGCCTATGTGAAGTCCCAGTTTAAACCACTCAGGACTCCTGAGGAATGCGCTGCAAAAGCTGCAGGGTGGGAAGTGAAAGCTTCCAAATACCGAGAGAGGGATGCAAGTCTCTGCACTGGACAGATGAGCCAGCAACCATCCTTCCCCATGGGAAGAATGGTAAACTTACTGTACTCTACACCTGAGCCAAGTGGCTCAGGAACACAGCAACCCACTCCCACCCAGGAAGCACCCACTTCGTCAAGTCCACAGCTCAACACTGTAGCCCAGGCTATGTCATCACATCCAATGCAGCAATCGGATGTCCAGATGAACAACCCAGAGGAAAACCCTCCTCCAGGGCAATAACTCTACCCTCAAAAAAAGGGAAAGTGACACAGTAATATGCCATTGAGGCACCCATGAAAACACCTTCCCCCAACTCGAGGCCCCACACACAATATTGTATGTGAGGAACTGCAAGTAACAATTGCAGAAACTTCTACTCCATCTAACCCAAATCCACCACCACTCATGTGTAAACACCATTTACACATGACTCCTCATGGAACAAGTGAGGAGGAATACCAAAGATATACAATCTTTGGGTTGAAATCTACTTTCGAAACTCCCTTCTTCTTTTATTTCCCTCCCTTTCCTGCGATATCCATGTATCGCTGTTTACTTTAAAGTAATGGCCTCACACCCCTTCATTTTCTTTTATTCTTCATCCTTATTTCCCATCCTCTTCCTAAATGTACACATCGGCCACTTTGTAGGGGCAATAACAAACTTTCTTTAAAGAAAAATTATTTTTTTACCTTGAATTCAATTTCTTTTCTTTCTTCCTAAAACCATGTATGCTTCACACATGTAATGCAAAGGGGGAGAATGTCAGGGCAATAGCCCTGAACCCTGAGTCTGATGTAACAATGGTGTACATAGAGTCACGTGGCTAAGCAGCAACTTCCTGTTACTGCTTAACACCACCGCAAATTGCACACCATTGTAACACTTACAGCCTGGTGTGCTGAGTGACCCCCTAAGACCTCACAGGGGACCTCAGGATGTTTGCATGGGGCCTAAAAGGCCTTTGGCACTATAAATGTCCTCAGATGTCCTAATTCAGTTTGATTCAATGATTGCAAATAATTGTCCTGGAATGCCATACTCGTCCATCCCATGGTCCGAACACACTTTACATAGTTGAATAGCCCCTTTGAATAGCTTCCAGAATATATATTTTGAGACTGAATTGACCAATAAATTGTTGAGAAAATTCTTTTTTGGATGCAAGTGTTTGGGTTAGTGTGGCTGTCCAACTCAATGTCTGTGCACAGTGCTGGCCTGTCAGGGTACAACCGGGTCTGGACTGTTTACTCATGACTGATGACACATCAACCCCAGACTGGCACTGCCCGATCACTATCCCCAGACTGACACAGACATGTAATACATATATTCCCTCTTGTAAAGCAGCCCCACATTGCTGAGTACCCTGACCTTATCATTTCCTGAGTAGCAAGTGGGGAGAGTAACTTTCTTCTCTCATTTTCCCCCTTGCTGCTCAGCTGGAATCTCCACCACAACCCGCTCTATTGGGTTCCTCCATTAAAACTGACCCTCTCCCTTTTGGTCTCAGCTCCAGTGAGAGCTCTGGATTCCTCAACTTAGAGACCAAGCAGCTTGGTACTCTGACATGGCCACTGTCATATCCATACAATCCCGACCTCCGCTCCGGGCTCCCGGAACTCCGAACCTGACTTCCGGAGTCCTACTTCCCTTCCATCACCTTCTCCTTGCCAACTCCCAAGAGGTTATCCCACCTCCAGCTCCAACACCACCTTCGGTCTGACTCCGGAACATTCTGGGTCTGACCTCATCCTCAACACCTTCCAGATGAGCATGCAACACCTATGTTCCCGACTCCGGACCTCCGCTCCGGAATCCTGTTTGCATCTCTGTCTCTGGAACCTCTGGTCTTAGCTCCAACCTCGGACTTTGACCCACCTCCACTTATACCCATTGTATTGGTTAGCTCATTCCATTTAATTACGTTTGCCAATATTCTGGAGTTTAACCTCCGAGTTCGGACTTTCCGGACTTACTCCGGACCTTGCAACTATTGCATTGTCCATTTCAATTCCGCTATTCTCCCTCATTCCTATTTGGGCTGCTGCTTCCTTCTATTCAGTCAGCTAGCCATTCCCGACTCCCATCCTCCTTCCTTCCTCCTTGGGCCTTGGCCCTTCATTCCTCCTTTGAGAAACACCATTGAGTCAAACCCTTGACCCTTGGTGTTGTTCCTCTTTCCATCTCCCTTTGTCTCCTTTCATCCTACCCTTGTTCCTTTTGATTCCGGACCCCTCCTTATATACAATGTACCTAGTAACTTGTAACCTCAGTCTGAAATCGACTTGAATTCCCCCAAGAGACTTCCCCTCTGCTAGATCCAAAATTAGGGACCCCTAGGACAACCAGCAATGGCACAGCGCTCTGCACGAGTCGCTGAGGCCAAGGTCCTTCCACGCTAAGTCTCCGATTCCACTCCGGAGTCGTCCGAATCTGCCCATTCTAACAGCCACTGTCTGGAGGGGTGTCCAGACTGTTTCCCACGGTGTCAACACACTTTGCATAGTTGGATAGTCCTTCAAATAGCTTCCAGAATATATAATTTGAGACTAAATTGACAAGCAGGTTATTGAGAAAAATGCAAAATACTTTTTTGGATGTGAGTCTTTGGGATTGTCAAGACATGGCAAGGACGGAGCAAGCATGCCTGGACCTTTCCCCAGAAGGGGGGCCAGAGGTAGGGGATGAGTGGAAGGACCATGGCCTCAGTGACTCAGAGGGGAGCACTGTGCTTACATTTGGTAATGCTAGTGTTTGGTCCTTAACTTCAGGACAAGGGGGTGTGAACTCTGGGGGAATAGTTGTTATTGTCGGTTTTGCACTGAGGTGCCATCAACTACAGTACAGGACTTATATACATAATACAAGACAAATAGGAACAAAGGGAAAACCCAAGATGGACTTACCCACTTGCTGGGTTGGCAATCTCATGAGAGAATTGCCTTATTGAGCACTGTGGAGTGAGTAGTTGAAGGGTGGGATTAGCGACAGCTATTGGATAGTTGGAAAACCTTTGCAGGATTGGCAGAGGTCCTAGGAGGTCTGTAGTAATGTTGGGCAGGTAGGAATATTAATAACCTTCTATGATTAGGATAAGGGGTACCAGAGATGGTACTGGAGATTGGAGGCAGAGGTGGATCAGAGGTATACTGGAGGGTATGGTGGAGGTGAGGGAGGGGACGGACTGAAGGTGAACCAGAATGGTGGTGGAGTAGGTCAGAGGTTGGGTGGAGTTGGTATGGATATGACAGGGATAGTGCTGGGCCACTAAATTTCAGTGACAGTCATCAAATTCCTGGGTCACTGATATCCCAAGTGTCATGACCAACACATCCCAGGGCTCCATCAGTGGTGAATCAATGCTGATTGTTAGAGACTGGATTTGAGACAAAGGATATATCTCCATGGTGGAGGGCTTTGGCTTCAGCAACTCAGACCAGGAGCACTGTGCCAAGTTACATGTCTGTGCCCCAATTTACTTACTGGCAGCGAGAACTAAAAGGGTGGATAACTCTAGTCGATTTTATCACTAGGGTGTAACCTATCTACAAGTTATGTATATATAGTTACATAGAGGGTGGGCCTGTGAATGGTGGGACCAAGCAGAGCAGAGCTAACAGAGTTACCTGTTAGCTGACTGAATATTGCCGACAAGTTGGGTTACAGGGTTAGTGGAATGGTGGACTATAACCCAGACATGGAAAGGAGGGATAGGCCTGAAAGTAGGCTTGCAGGGCAAGCAAGTGAATTGCCCAGTGGGGGCGGGAGTGCACTAGCAGACGTTGGAGCTGTCTGGAGGCCTTCAGGGATCCATACTTAGGGAGGCATAGGTAATATATTGAATTGAGGGGGTGGTGACCATCAGGGGAGTTGGAGGTAGTTGCAGAATCCAGAGGCTCCGAGGTTAGTGACGAAGGAGTGGAGGTGATCTGGAAGGACCAGAGGTAGTGGAGGGTGATGGCCATAGATGGATATGACACCGATAGGCGAATCTGCCAACCCAAAACCCAATCTAACCAGCCCTCAATCTGATGTCTGGCCCCCCCGCCCCATCGAGTGAGACTTGGCCAACAATCAGACCCTGGACCCTGCTGGCATTCCGACTTCACCTCCAGTTCCTGAGCCTTTGGTGCTCTGGCATCCAGTCCCTCTGGTTCATCCTAGGCTTATGGCACAACTCAGTCTTGCATCCCTGCCTCCTCTGCATCCCCCACATATTTTGCATCTTCTGTATTCTCTGCATCTGTTAGATACGGTGGATTTGGACGACTCCAGAATGGAATTGGAGACTTAGTGTGGAAGGACCTTGGCCTCAGCGACTCATGCAGAGTGCTGTGCCATTGCTGGTTGTCCTAGGGGTCCCTAATTTCGGATCTAGCAGAGGGAAAGTCTCTTGGGGGAAAATCAAGTCGATTTTGGACTGAGGTTACAAGTTCCTATGTACATTGTAGCTAGGCAGTAGAATTGTGGATTTGGGCTGTGGCAATTCCCCACTTCATTTCAAGATTATTTGGAGAATCTCCACCCTCCACTGTACATATGTAGGTACATGACTGCCATGCAACTGGAGGATTCATCCCATGAGTGAAGACATGTTACAGTTAAGGCATAACACCGATGGACTTTAAGATTGCCTTAGTCTTTGGCCTAGTCCAGATTGCGACCTTATAGACCATTGATCAGTGAAAGTTACCCTCAGCTGATCAACATGGCAGGTTACTCACCCTTATTGATTTCAGCTTATAGCTTGCTCCTCATGGTCTGACTCCTTGCTCCTGATCTTGTCTTGCCTTCGCATCTCCTGTGCCTTAGC